ACGAAATGTATGACAATTCCGGGAACTTCTGGTTTTTTTCTCAAACCCATATCAGATTTCTCAAAATTTTACCAAACTTCTTTTCCTCACAGAGCCCTTCAGGCCCGTACTGCCTTTTTGTAGTGATTCCCAAGTTTTACAGTCAGAATTACTTGACCCATCATTCCCGATGTTACTGAGATTAATATTTATCTTTAAAATGGCCAGAACCATCGGTGTCAAAGTTCCCGAAGCGTGAGAAGCAAATAAGGAAGCCACGAAATGATTTTTTCCTACTCGTCCCATAGCTAAACGGACAGGAAACCCCTGGTCCCATAGCTAAACGAACAGAAAACCTCTCGTCCCATAGCTAAACGAACAGGAAACCCCTCATCTCATAGCTAAACGAACAGGAAAACCCCTCGCCCCGTAGCTGAACGAACAGGAAACCCCTCGGCTAGTTAAATCCGTACAGATTCACCAATATTAAAGCTGTATATTTCAACTTAGTTAAGTATGCTAGTTAAATCCGTACAGTTTCACCATATTAAAGCCGTATATTTCAACTTAGTTAAGCCTGCGAGACGTCCGCTGGTTAAATCTGTACAGTTCCACCCATAACTAAACGAACAGGAAACCCCTTGTCCCATAGCTAAACGAACAGAAAACTTCTCGTCCCATAGCTAAACGAACAAGAAAAACCCCGAAATAATTGTTTTTTTCGAAAAGACCGGAAAGCGAATATGAAATATAAATATGTCACGAAAAGAGATCAGTTTTCACGGAAATCAGTTCACGCAACCGATGGATTACCAAACGATGCTGGTGGCTGTTGCTGCTGGTTTACGTTGGCATTCCAGGCTGGATCGGTGCTGCCACCAATCGACGAAAGATCTGCTTTTTTGCCAAGTGCCATGAATCCATAAACTGTACCGGATGCAAATATCATCCCACCGCCAAGTACTGTATTCAGTTCCACACACAACAAAATTGGTACCAGACCCATGCTGAAAATAAGCGCTTGAAATACGAGATTTGCACTGAATATACCAAGAATATCAAGGTTCATAGGCGGATTTAGGAGGAGGAAGGAGAGGCATGAGATTTT